ATAAGGATATGTTTCTCGATTATGGAGGTGACAAAAGGTTCGTCGTAAAGGGTTACGTCGATGCAAGTTTTGACACTGATCCAGATGACTCAAAGTCTCAATCTGGATACATATAGAAAGTGGGAGCAATTAGCTAGAGTAGCTTAGTGCAGAGCATTGTTGACATAGAAATTTGCAAAATACTTAAGGATCTGAATGTGGCAGACCCGTTGACTAAACTTCTCTCACAAGCAAAACATGATCACACCCTAGTACTCTTTGGGCGTTAATCACATAGCGATGTGAACTAGCTAGATTATTGAATCTAATAAACCCTTTGGGTGTTGGTCACATGACGATGTGAACTATTGATCTTAAATCGCATGGCGATGTGAACTAGATTATTGACTCTAGTGCAAGTGGGAGAGTGAAGGAAATATGCCCTAGGGGCAATAATAAAGTTATTATTTATTTCCTTATTTCATGATAAATGTTTATTATTCATGCTAGAATTGTATTAACCGGAAACATAATACATGTGTGAATACATAGACAAACAGAGTGTCACTAGTATGCCTCTACTTGACTAACTCGTTGATCAAAGATGGTTATGTTTCCTAGCCATAGACATGAGTTGTCATTTGATTAACGGGATCACATCATTAGGAGAATGATGTGATGGACAAGACCCATTCCATTAGCTTAGCACTTGATCGTTTAGTTTGTTGCTATTGCTTTCTTCATAACTTATACATGTTCCTATGACTATGAGATTATGCAACTCCTGTTTACCGGAGGAACACTTTGTGTGCTACCAAACGTCACAACGTAACTGAGTGATTATAAAGGTGCTCTACAGGTGTCTCCGAAGGTACTTGTTGGGTTGGCGTATTTTGAGATTAGGATTTGTCACTCCGATTGTCGGAGAGGTATCTCTGGGCCCTTTCGGTAATGCACATCACTTAAGCCTTGCAAGCATTACAACTAAAAAGTTAGTTGCGGGATGATGTATTACGGAACGAGTAAAAGAGACTTGCCGGTAACGAGATTGAACTAGGTATTGATATACCGACGATCGAATCTCAGGCAAGTAACATACCGATGACAAAGGGAACAACGTATGTTGTTATGCGGTCTGACCGATAAAGATCTTCGTAGAATATGTGGGAGCCAATATGAGCATCCAAGTTCCGCTATTGGTTATTGACCGGAGACGTGTCTCGGTCATGTCTACATAGTTCTCGAACCCGTAGGGTCCGCACGCTTAAGGTTTCGATGACAGTTATATTATGAGTTTATGAGTTTTGATGTACTGAAGGAGTTCGGAGTCTCGGATGAGATCGGGGACATGACGAGGAGTCTCGAAATGGTCAAGATGTAAAGATCGATATATTGGACGACTATATTCGGACATCGGAAAGGTTCCTAGTGATTCGGGTATTTTTCGGAGTACCGGAGAGTTACGGGAATTCGTCGGGGAGTGTATGGGCCTTATTGGGCCATACGGGAATAGAGGAGAGAGGCCAAAAGAAAGGAGGCGCGCGCCCCCCCTCTGGTCCGAATTGGACAAGGGGTGCAGCCCACTTTTCCTTGTTCCTCTCCCCCTCTTTCCTTCTCTCCTACCCCAATAAGGGATGGAGGAGTCCTACTCCCGGTGGGAGTAGGACTCCCCCCTTGGTGCGCCCTCCTCCTAGGCCGGCCGCCTCCCCCCTTGCTCCTTTATATACGGGGGCAGGGGGACACCCCATGGACACAACAATTGATCATTGATCTCTTAGCCGTGTGCGGTGTCCCCCTCCACCATAGTCCTCGATAATATTGTAGTGGTGCTTAGGCGAAGCCCTGCGACAGTAGAACATCAAGATCGTCACCACGCCGTCGTGCTGACGGAACTCTTCCCCGACATTCTGCTGGATCGGTGTCCAGGGATCGTCATCGAGCTGAACGTGTGCTAGAACTCGGAGGTGCCATAGTTTCGGTGCTTGATCGGTCGGGCCGTGAAGACGTACGACTACATCAATCGCGTTGTGCTAACGCTTCCGCTTTCGGTCTACGAGGGTACGTAGACAACACTCTCCCCTCTCGTTGCTATGCATCATCATGATCTTGCCTGTGTGTAGGATTTTTTTTAAAATTACTATGTTCCCCAACAACTTCATCTAAATCGATTCCATCTATACCTAGTAATAAAGCAAGGTGCGTTTTGCCAAAATTTTCATCTGTTCACCGTCGAAATTTATTTTTCTATCCGAGGTGGTACTAAATTTTTGTCTGTCTGTCTGTTTTTTATATTACAATCCAGATTTTCGACTTGGGCCGCAGACCCTGTGGCCCAGCCAAGCCAGCCCACTTATTTGCTCGCTCATGAAGATGCAAAAACTCTATTTGTCGCCCTACGCGGTAGATAGTCAGAGATTCACACACGGACCCCAAATCTGTGCAAGCCTGTTTCGTTTTTTCTTCCAAATTTATTTTTATTTTCACTTATTTTGTAATAATTTTTTTTAAATCAGCATTTTATTTTTGTAAAATTTTTGGAAAATATTACAATTAAATATTGTGTTCCCGTTTTTAAAAATGTTTGGAAAAAATATATTTTTCTCTCGTTCTGATTTTCTTTCGAAATTTAGGACATATTTTTTTTGTATTTTTGAAAATTGTTCGGGATTCCCAAAAAATACATTTTAAAAAATATTCAAAATTCAAATTTTTTTCTTGTTTTAGTAAAATGTTCCGAAATTCAATAATGTCCGTGTTTAAAAACACATTTTATAACATTGTTCTGAATGTTCAAAACATGTTCCATTTTCAAAAGTCGGTAGAACTTCAAAAAATGATTGTGTTGTTATCAAAGATTCATGTCTTCAGAAAATGATGTTGCTTCAAATTTTGTTCATGTTTTTCCAAAATGGGTGGAATATTATAAATATTGTTTGTAATATCAAAATGTTATATTTTCCAAAAATATTTGGCAATTCATATTTAAAAAATCAAAAAAAAAATCTAATGTTGCAGTATGTTCTTTAATATTCGCGTCGGCCATTGGTTAGCAATAGGCATTTGTTGCCATGGCCAACAACATCTGGTCGAGTCTTTAAGGCCATGTGTTCGATTGTTCAACTAGTCGTTTTTTGGATTATTACTCGTGCCTTGCAAACACAGATCATATCAGTGCCTGGCAGTAGCTGGCCCAAATGCGATCGGCTGTGCCTTCCACGCGCTATTTGACACAACTAGCATCATATAGTAGCTCCCACACAGCTGCCCCAAGAAAAAGCAAAAATATACGTATAGATTTTGTTTCACCCATTCCACACGTAGTTTCCCATTTTTATTTATTTATCCCCAACTGGGCCTACGATGCATTTCTTTTTCTATCACACTGAAAAGCAGCAAAAAATTAAGGGCGCGAGGGGATTGAACTATGAACCTTCCCTATTGTACCGACGGACAAAGCCAACTCAACTAGCTTACAATTATGATAGGAACAATCTCACCTTGGAATTTTATACTACATCACACAAGTTTTTATATGTCCCTAAGTCGTTAAATAAGAAGGTTGTGTGAGAATATGAAAGTTGTCTCGAGAATCATGTGCAGAACGCGACACTCCACAAATTATTGCCAGAGGTAACTTGCACGTGCCAATAAAAGACAATATGCTTGTTGGCTATAATCTATAATTGCAAAAAATTGTGGGCATGTGCTAATAAAAGATAATATGTTGGTTTTGCGCAAAAATAGCCAAAAAGAATAAACCCTATTAATGAAGGGACATTCATGTCTGGTTATGTGCCAATTATGCCAGTCAAACAAAATAAAATTTATGCGCTGCAGGAGGTGACAATGGGTGAGGAGCTAACCGACGACACCCAACCGACACGGCCATGCACTATTGCTGACTATCTCCTCCCATTATTGACGGCCGCCGCACATGTCGTTTCAGAGACACAAGATTGAACTACCATCGCCGATGATGGCAAGGAGGATAAGCGACAATATAGATCAGGCGATGTGTTCACATAGAGGACGTGGAAGAGTGTGTGTGGGGATATGAGGAATGCTGAGATATTATTTTTCTCCCGTTGCAACGCACGGGCATATTTCCTAGTGTATACATGCGCCGCCTGAGAGGAAGTTGGGGCGGTACCGGGTGGGATGCGCATCTTTCACTTTCCTATATATATCATGTACTGTCCTTCTACTATGTACTGGCCAGGCCAGGGTAGGACACACTCATCTGGCAGTCGTTTTTGTCAGCTCCATGACATGTGAACTCATTAGCACACTACATTTGTATGAACATGCGATGACACATACATTACCAGGTATAAAATGAGGCGTTTAATGTATTCTAGCAAACATCTAGCTCTATTAAGCCACCATTAAGCAAACATTACTACCATGAAAAAATGTAACTACAGGATGTTGAGCTACTTCAACTGCATTGGTGAATCCATAATGTAAAGCCTCAGAAATCTGTGACAAAAATAACTAATTGTTAAAACTTTGAGAGTTGTGATTTTTATCTTAGCGGATAGAGAAAAACACAATTAACAATTGGAAAGAGCATAGTGCATTCAGTGCATCATTTTATGTTTACACAATATACACGATGATCAATCGAGTACCATATGTTACAAGAACTAAAGCCTATAACACAATTCAAATTTGAAAATTGCAGAAACTATGAGAAGTAGATGGAACTGCAAATAGTTTATAAAAAAATGAAAACATAAGTACAAAGAAGGAAGCTTTGAATTATCTACAAGCAGTGTTTCTCCTTCGCCTGAATAAATTAGGACATGGCTGGTAATCTTGATGTACAGACATTAATTTATTTAATTGAAATGCCATAGTGATAGATTCTCTCATTGTTTTCAGCTAAGAAAACAGCCAATACATCTTCTCCAATGTATGAGTGGGATCATTATCATGGAAAGAAGGCTATTATAGCAGGGACACATAGGTAATTTTGAACCAAGATAAGTCACAAGATGAAGCTAAGAAGGAGACCTGACTTAGCCATGCAAATCACTCACAAAACAATTGCTCAAGGGTATGGTGGTGTCAGCAGCTACGCGTGCAATCAGAGCATACAAGGCCAATTGCTCATCACATTGTGCACCAAGAAGTACTTCATTAGTATAAATGAAGGAGCCACGAAGTGGAGGGTGCTCTGAATAGGAAATATTTATTAAAAATTTCAACATACTTGAAACAGAAACACGAAAGTATTCAGCATCATCATTATCCTCAAATGCAGAATCAACAGCAACTATGTAAAAGAAAAGAAGCGCAGTCAGTATGTAGCACAACATGAGAACAACAGATGAAACACTCTATAAGCATAATTATCAATGTCTTCGAGGGCAGGGCAACTTCAAATGAAAAGGTTTGTACCCTTCAAATGTGACTCCACGATGATCTTAAACAAACTTGAACCTGCAAGTGCTCCATCAGCTGACATAGGACTTTTATCAGCACAAGCTTGCTGTGTATAAACATGATTGAAATGAATCATAATTAATAGTTATAGTCGATAGAATGACAAAATGAGTTATATTGACCAACCTAAGTACCTAGTCTTGTTACGTCTATTGGACAGTGTGCAATTAAAATCATCTGATAGTTTTCTAACCATTTCCAATCCAATGACTTGGATACAACACAAAGACTGATATTTTAGGTTCTTCTTCTTACATCCTTTAAGAATATTTAAGAGATTTATTTTATTGCAGCAAGTGCATTGTTTATATGCCGGACAGATCTCATACATTGCATTCAAGGGTTTGATAAAGCTTGCTTAGCACAGAAATCAGGTTGTGTGGTTGCCATCCTTTCAGATGATCTACTTTGCCAGTAAGTTCATCTAGCTTAGTTACAATTACCTTGGTTTTTTATCATCAGCAACTGGACATACAGTGTTCCACACATGCATGCGCCAAACATAATGCAAGGCATATCACCCCTGAATATATTCAATTAATGAACTACTTATACTCTATCAGGACCTCTGTCTCCCATTATACTGCTGTAGTGCCCATTGGTCTGCGCCTCATTGCAAGATTAACAAGCCCTGATATGCCGATCGGATGTTTCCATGGAAAATAGGTAAAAGAATTGAGTATGGCCAAAAGCTTAAGAACGCGGGATATTTATAAGTTGAGATAAATGCTGCAGAAGTGAGAGGGGCCATACCAGGGAGACAACATGAGCGCACCGCCTTGTTCATCGCTAAGCCGAGGTGCAACACCATCCAGATTCCATCAAAAATTGTGTTTGGCATATCATGTGGTGAACAAACTATAAGAGGTGAAGGCACCGATCCATCAGAAGCGTGCATCGAGTAGATCTGCGCCTTCTCAATGCGCCTTCTAGTGCATAGTAAGAGCATTTCTAGATGTAGAAAAGAAACATATAACTATTATTTCAGTAAAGAAGTTCATCGTACATGTTTTTCATACCACAAAAACTCACAAGCAGGCACAAAAAGACATCTCTTTTGTTTCCTAAAACTCCACAACTAATCGGTTCATGCACAATCCACCTGTTCTCTAATTGTACTGAGATAATGACATTCTGTCCTAATCAGTAATCACCACCATTCTATTCTCCAATTGAACTGACATAATGACATTCTCCCAATCTTCTCTAATCGGGAATCGTGAGGCACAAAGCCGACGACGAGAGGGACGTGAGAGAGATGCATGAGGCAAAATAGCACATGCCCTTGCAAATCTTAATTACAAACAACATAACAGAGACAAGTGAACCACATGGATGACTCCAAGAAGTAGACACACATTTGTTCATGACCACACAAAAAGCCACATGTTATAAAGAAACTGTATATGCAATAAACTCAGTACTCCTTGGACAACAAGCATGAGTCATATCAGACTAATATGCATACATGTGGTTTGCATTACAGTACACTAAATGTGCATAACCAAACCAACTTAAAAAAAATTCACGAGCATGGGTTCAAAAATGCTACAAAATGGTGCAAATTTGGCAGCCACCCAAGGTACTGTCAAAAACAGGAAAAATCTACAACCTAAACTACTAATAAAATGATAAGGAGGAAAAGAAAAGCACACCTAGAGGGATCACATGAAAGTATGGTCAAAGTCAAACTGATTAAACATCATCACGTGTGCTTTATAAAGATCGGCATTAAACAAAAAGAAAAGGAGAATTTTCTTTAGCAAACTGAAGTTGATTCTGTGTCAGCTTACAACTAGCACAACATCACTTTTCAGCTCTGAAGGTAAAAGAAAATACTACCAAAAAGGGAGTACATGTAGTGGCCAACAACTCTCATAGAGCTATGTTTCATCTTTCATGTCATCTACTTAATGTTCTCAGTTTTGCAAAAAAATATGTAACATTATCTATTAAACAAGGAAATAGATGACAGTGGACTTGCTGACAAATATACACAGGGAACTGGATTTTCATAAACTCAGATTGATGGAGTTAACAGAACACAAGATATACACAGGTAACAACTGGATTGTTGAACACAAAGTATTGTGTGATCACCTTTCTATCAATGAAGGTTATGCGACATGTAATACAAGAAAGGAAGACCCTATAAGCTTCTAAAGATGCCATGTTATATCAGCGAAGTCACTTAATATAGAAACAAATTAATAACTACCAAGGACATCGAGGCATGATATACCAAGGTTGCAAGAAAAGTGAGGGTTCAGCTCAAGACATACATCTAAAGATGGTTTGGATGAGGTGCAGAACAACAACTTCAACCATGTTTTGTCGACTGTTTCCTGTGCCCTCCTTGTCTTCCCTTCCATCCTGTCATTTATAAGAGTGTAGCTGCCAAACAAGAGGCATGTATAATCCTTGTTATAGCTAGGAGGCAGGACATTTGAACCATCTAAAATCCTCCTCTCATAAATCTGAGCATTTGGAAACAAGCTAATACAAGGATTCATGTGATACTGTATATTCAGCAAATGTTTATCGAATTTCAATGTAACTAATCTACCAAAAAAGACTTGTACCAAAGCCAACCTCTTTGCATACCTAAAGATAAATAATGAAAGGTAAGAACTACGATTATCATGAATAGATCTAGCTTTTTTCCCAAATGAAAGGCCAAGAACTAAGATTACTACGATTATCATGGACATATCTCCCAAAAAACACTTGTACCAAATCTAGCTTCTTTTTTAGCCAGTTGAACTTAGATACAAATGGATGAGCTGGACATGGCGAATCACATCACATCTCTAATACATAATATTGTAATAACACAAAATCAATGGTTTGGCTTAATAACATTTTGAGCCCTTTGTGATGACCTAAATGTTGTTTCAATCACGCAACTGATTACAATCTATCTAGCTTTTGTAGCTGAAGGACAGAGTCGTGGCTGAGGGTGTGCCTCTTCATTCCCTTCGCTAGGCCCTGCAGTAAGGGTTGGATTGAACATACAACACACATGAATCCGCAACAAAGAGAGACATCACGGCGACGTCCGGTCGATCGATCTGTTGAGGAGGGTGGATGTCGATGGCGACGTGATGGCCACGGATCTAGCAGGAGAAGCGCCTCCTCCTCTCGCCCAATTGCGTCCCCGCTAGGTAGTGTCCACCCCTTTTTACCCTCTCAGTTTTTCTCTCTCTCGCTAGCACAGTAAAAAACGATGAGGTGAAATGCGCAAGGAGGCGCTATTCTCCCGCACATTATTGTGTTGGATTTCTGTATTTGCAACAACGCATATCTTACCAGACCAATAGGTGCTATAAATTACAACATCGGGTCATAATGCATTTGCTTTGTGCATTTCCATTCACGGTCATGACATGAGTGTGCAACGCGCGCACACAATGAAAAACAATTATCTAACGAGCGAAATAGACATATTTTGTGTTTCTATTAGAAACTAAAACACATGTCACACGCCTCTTACTCCTAAGGCGGAGGTGTGCGCTCTTGTATGTGCCTAGCCTGATTGCCATGAAAGAATTAAATATAGCAGTCCCATTACTTATTATGTAATATTTGCAAAGAGGAAGATGAACTTGTCAGGTAATCATTGTATAAACCAAACAATATTGTTTCTGTCAGCCAAACACAAACTGATAGGCTGAGCGGTGAAACCTCAGCCTAGCTCTTTATTTAATCTCCCAATCTTGCACATGGTTTATCAACTACTGATCAAAAAACAGTTTAAAAGGAAAAGAACTATCATGAGTCAACTACCAAACAAGCTAACTCTCAGGGTAGCAACACGGACATATTTATTGATGAAACTGTGTTCCGTCAAGCTGCAATCAACCACGAGGTCATCAACAGAAACCGCACATCCTTACAGAACTGGGGAAGGGGCGACTGTGTTCAGAAAAATAACAAGAAGAAAATTGGAGGAACCGAACAATTTATTATATACCTGAGAAGAATACCAAAAACCAAAATGGAGATTCATTACCTTTGATGTCAGTGCCCTCTAAATCACTACCAGGACACAATTGAAACAAGAGGGCCATGCAACATCTTTCCTTCAAACCCGATGATAATATCGAATTCTCTCTTGCAACTGTGATATGGTTCGTGTCCTTGCAACAGTCAACTGCATATATTTCAGAAAGATGGCAAACTTCAGTATAACCAAGACACTGATGAGTAACTTCAATTACAACACTAAAGGAAACCATCATGCGAGTGTAAACATCAGGACGAACTATCATATTATCGTATATATATTACATAGTTGTATTATGGCAAGAAGTTCTGCATGATAAAGTATATTTGGCACTCCTAATGAGTAACCGAGTTAAGTATATTTAGCAGTCCTAATTTCAACCACTAAACCAGAGTATATGACCATATGAATTACATCAAATGGAAAAGATCAGCGAGAGAATTCCCTCCATAACAAAGATCCGAAATGCGTACCAGCTACCAATGGCGATGTATAGAAGCTTCTGAGGACGAACCATGACAAAGTGCCTAACATAATATTGAGTAGCTTCCCTTCTCGACTCTTTCGATATGAGAAATTTTAGTTCATGTAGCTGGGTTTCACATTTAGGATGATATGATATTAGTGCAAGAACAGATTCATAACAAAACTTAAGACAAGCTATGAAGGGATCAAGAAAAGGTCCCTTCATAGCTTGTCTTAATTTTTGCAATTACAAAGGTGCCTGCAAGAGTTCTGCACATCATTGGAGAACCTGGACTTGAGTAAGCTACTTCAGAACATCAATCAAATGAAAATTGTGGGCTAAAATCATTGCAATCAGGAGAGACAACCCAGGTTTTTTCCTGTTACAATTCCCCCAGCCTGACGTGATATGACAGTGAAGGATCAAATAAGATGACTGCATATGTTGTGCAAGTAAATGGCAGTCCATAAGATTCTAATAACATTCTGAATTAAGATACCCACCTTTCTAGCTCGCAGTACAACAGGAGAGATCAGATTTTCAATTACTTGCAAAATTCAGATGTAGCACAAGTCACCAAGTCAGAGATCATTGTACCAATCTAACTGTAGAGGGTATGTGTCTTAGCTGCGAGGACCTAGGAGCAGTGCTCGGTGGCACCTTGCTCGGGCCGGTGATCTCAGGCGCTGCGAGGACGGAGGCGGTCAGTACAAATACCCAGACAGAGGGAGGGGGAGTGGGGGAGCACCTTGACGATCTCCATGGCATCCAGAGAAGAAGCTCCTCCTCGAGCACCTCCATCGCGGATCCGTCGAGAAGAGGGGATCGTCGACGAGCCGGACGAGCACCTCTCCAAGCGGCACGATGAAGATTTCCGTCGACGTCCTAGTCAACTTTGTCGCCTCGCCTCCAAATCGCCCAGATCGCGCACCACCGGCCACCGGCTCTCCAGATGGTGCCCGGCAGCCGCGCCGGGTTCGCGCTGCTCTGCCCGTGACGGCCATCGTGTCCGCCGCCGTCGGCCGCTGCTGCTTCTCCAGTGCGGACCACCGCAGCTCTCTGCCGGCCGCTGCTCCGACGAGCCAGACGGGTAGGAGATGAGGGCGAGTAGGCGGCGCGGGGGGCGGCGGCGGCGGCGCGGGGGAGATGAGGAGGCGGCATGTGCGGGAGGACGAGCTCCATTTCTCTCCCTCTCTTTTCCCCAATACGCGTACGGTGCCATGTAGGCAGGGGAGGCCCGTCCCATCCGTCGCCGCTCCTCCTCGTTTCGACACGCGCCTCGGCCGGGGATGCGTGCGGTGTCATGTAGGCAGGCATGCAGCTGAGTTGGCGCAGTGGTGGAGCCTTCACAAAAATCTACATGCCGCCACGCTGGCGCTTGATGAGTTGGTCTGGGAGCTGCATGTTGCCACGCAGGTGCCCGCCCAGCTGGTTGGGCTGGCATCTGCATGTGAACGGCGGTGGAAGCTTGGTCGACGTGGGCTTGGCGATGGCCTTGCCGGCGTCTTTGGCGAGGGCCTTGCCGGGTGGCCCGGCAAGGGTCTCGCCGTGGCGTGTTGTCGTCCCTGGTAAGGATCTTGTCGGGGGTCTGGTGGCCTTCCTTGGCAAGGATCTTGCCGAGAATCATCGTCTTCTGATTTGATCTTGAATATGTCTTCATAAAGATCTATATGCCACCACAAGGGTGCCTTTCCGAGTCCTGGCCCCACGCTGATGATGGCACTGGGGGCCGTGGGCTCAAGAGTGGCTCGCTCTGTTGGTGTGGGGCGAGCTGCCCCGGCAAGAGTCTTGCCGGGGTCGTTGAGGCCACCCGGCAAGGGTCTTGCCGGGGGAACTTGCTTCGTCCCTCTGCTCTTTGTGGTCTTGGCCTTGGCGTTGCTTTGATTGCCTTGGGCTTCGATTTTACCTTGGCTCACCTCCCTCGTTCTGCTTGGTGTGGCCGTGGGCGCGGCTCTGACTGCTCGTGCACAGGAATAGGGGTACAAAGATGCGCCCCTATTTTTGTACACCAACAGGAGCCCCCTGGTCTGGGCCACACATAAGCGCGAAGCGTTGTTGGGCCAGGCCCAAAACGGTGCGCGGGCAGGTGGGGTGGTTTTTACCGTGGTAAGATTCTTCGCGCGCTCCGCCTCCCATGACCCGCGCGCGAGGCGTGGCGTAGAAGGGTGTGCGTGACATGGGCGGCATGCGTGGGACGGTTTCCACACGCATGTGTCACATCGCAGTAAAGAGGCGGCTCGCGTCTTCCCCATAAAAAGAGGGAGGCGTGGAGGCGCGGCTCATTTACTAAGCGGAGTCGGGGTGCGGTCTTCAAGACGTCCACTCCTCACGATCACGGGGTGGGGAGAGGTTGCCTCACCCGTCCCCTTAGTTTTGCACGTCTACCACGCGTCCTTGTGGTGGCAAATGGTGGAGGCGAGAAACTGGGCCGCCGCTGGTTGGGCGGCGGGTCGGTCCTGATTCCCCGCGCCTCCGGTGTCTGGATTGGCCGAGCGGGATGGCCGAGTCTCAACCCCGTTCCTTTATAAAGAGGAGAAAGGGGAAACGGCACCCCACATTATTCCATCTTCTATCTCTTTCTGCTTTTGCTCCTTCATCTCATCCGCCATGGAGAAAGGGAACCCTGGTCCTTCGACGGTGGCGGCGAAGGTCGTCGCTCGACAACGCGTCCCTCCCCCTCCTGAACCCGTGGTGGTGCAACCGACCGCGAGGGGAAGGGGGAGGGGGCGAGGCCGGGGCAGAGGCTGTAGCGCTCGGGGAAGAGGAGGACGGGGCAGCGCGCCAGCCTCGCCCTGCCAATGATGCCCTTCCCGATGGAGGGCCACATTGAAGACAAGCCTTGCGAGTTCTTCATCAGGCTCCGTCGGCCCCCCACGTCGTCGTCTTCGTCTTCTCACTCCGTTCTCTCGGGTGATGGAGCGTGCCCCGCCCCAGACCCTTAGGTTGCACATGAGGGGCTGCGGGAACGGGGGCACGTGGGTCGACGTCGACTTCCTGGCTCCTCGAGTTATGTATCTTCACCGTGGATGGAAGACGTTCGCCCGCATCCATAGCCTGACGGCGGGGCTCGTCCTCTACTTCAAGTTAATGGAGGACGACCTGCTCTCCGTCAAGGTCTTCGGAGACTTGGGAACTCGTTTGAAATGTTGTGTGGAGAGCTCCTCTGATGGAGATTCTGACGATGGAAGCTCGTCCTCGAGCGACGGTGATGAGGAGGACAACGGGGCGGACAGTGGGGACGAGTCTGACTAGGCGTCGGACGCCCCGCGCCTGGGCAGGTGCGGCAATAGCATCTGCACCTGGACGCTCCTTCGGCAGAAGCTGTCCGGGGGCAGGGCCAGCTCCTTGAACCTTGCGGGGCTGTCTCCTTGGGCGGCTGGCGTCTGGAGGCTGTGGAAGAGGAAGAGGGCGGGCGGCAAGGCCGTCAACTCGGAGTACGCGGGCACCGACGCCTTCATCGCGTATTTCCGGTCCTGCCGCCTCGTCTTCCAGCTCCTTTTCCGGCAGCGTCATCACCAGCCCGCCCATGGGTGGCCACCGAGATGTTCTCTTGGTGCTTTCTGCTGCTCGTAGCTCGCCTAGGCGTCCCTTTTGCCCTTTCGCCTCCTTGACCTGCCTCCTGAGGAGAGGGACAAGAAAGGGATTACGGGCATCTTATCTCTTTTTTAGTTTGTAAGCCTGCGGGCCTTTGTTAAATTTAAAACTTGTAATCCCCTTGCTCATGTTTTTCATCTCGCACGAACTGTACCTATATGGGATCTTTTTAATGAAAAAAGGATGATTGCCGAGTTTTTCGTTCGTGGGTAAATCCCGTGACAAGGAGCGAATCCTTATTATTGTTTTAAGATAAACGTTTTTCGCCTGGCAACCGGCCTTGCCGCCCCCCACTCCACTCAACCATTCTCACGCTCTTGGCGGTGGCAGGGATGAAGTGGGATTTAGGCTCCTCGTCCCACCCCCTTGCCGCCGCGTCTACGACCAAATCCGGACCTAGGGAATAATCCCTAGGTATAGGAAAAAGGGGAGCACGACAGCCTAGAGATAAAAACGAGGTTTCACATGCCCCAGTCCGGTTCCAAAATGCATGACAGAGGATAAAAGACTTATCTGGATCTGCAGCCCTTGGCAATCTCATCTTGCCACGGTTGGATCCTTGTGCTTGCAGCCCCCGGCAACTCTGGCTTGCCGGGGTCGGGGCGTCAGTCCGTTTCCTTCTTTCCGAGTAGCTCATCAGAAGTGCTCACGTGTCCTGCGAACCAAAGGAGGACAAAAAAGGAACAGACAGACGCACACTCGACCTCTAGGCTAGGGGTTAGTCGCCGCTAAGCTCTACCAACCCTGACCAAGGAAGAGACTCGACCTAGCATGCATGCTATAACTTAGGGCGCCAGCGCTTCATTTATTTATGCTTAGGGTCTACGCCTGGCTTTGTACAAAGGGTCACATGCCTTGTCGGCAAAGCTTGTACAAAAGGTGGCTTGCCAGGAGGCCCGGCAAGCCGCGCCTTATGGGTGAAACTTGCGAAGATGCTCGATGTTCTAGGAGTTGCTCACTGGGACGGCATCTTCGGTCTCCAGGCGGACTGCGCCGGGCCTGGTGACTCGCATTACCCAATAAGGGTCTTCCCACTTCGGCGTCAACTTGTTGAAATTCTTGGCCGACTGAACACGTCGAAGAACAAGGTCGCCTTCCTCGAGGCTTCGGGCATGAACCTTGCGGCTATGATAGTGGTGCAAGGCTTGCTGGTAGCGTACCGCTCTCACAGC